CTCATCACTTTGCCTTCTGGATCCAGACCTTGAAAAGGCATAAATTGGGTATCCTCAGAAGAAAATAACCTAGTGTTTTTGAAATATCTGCTGCCTGACATCTACAGCTGATTTACTCTTCAGGAAATATTCTACCTGCAGCACCTTCAGCTGCTGAATGGTGTCTGACAGATTCATTCATCACTTTCCTGAAACCACTCTGTGGTCCAAGGAACCATCCTCTCATAACTAATTGTTCAACCAAGTCAATTAGCTTTCTTTTGTTGTGGTCCACACCTGATACTGCCAGAACCCATGCCACGTGCATCCTTAAATATTAAAGCAGCGTTCATTAGAAAATCTATGAGCTGAATGTCAATATACGAGCCATGGAAACTCAAACCTCACCCATCAGGATCCCATCTTTCAGCTGGAGTGGTTTCTGGGTCAAAGAGCATGCTGGGACGTGGCCGCGTGGCCTGGCTTGTTGGGTTGAATTACTTTTGTCAGCTGGTTCTGCCTCAGCAATGCTGCACATGGTCAGTGACATGCTGCATTAGGAATTTGAAGCGAGCTTTAGCTGAAAATGTCATGGCAGCAGATCATTTTTGTTTCTTAATTAATGCTATCCGAAGCATTTGGTTATGAGTCGTGAGAGTTGTGGAAAGTGAAGCCCAGTAATTAAAGCCAGAAGCTGCTGCATCTCACTGTGCTCTTTAAGGTTCCAGAGAGGATCATAGCTGTTTGAGTGGTTTAGGGTGGTTGGCTGTGCAGCAGCAGGTAATTCCAGTCTGGGGAACTCAACACGAGCTGATACCCGTGCCTCTTTGTGTCCCAGCTGGCCTTTGTTTGGGATATTTCCGCCTGGTTAACTTCCGAACCCCGAGTTAGAGGTGGCTGCTTTTGTTCTGACTGAGTGACGGAGCTCTGAGGATGGAGAGACGGGCGGGGGGAAGTCTGAACCATCTGTTGCTGAGATAATTCATCTTGACTTTATACCACTCTTTGCACACAAACATTGACAGACAATGTGACCAACATGAAAACTTTTCAGGTTTAGCTTATGAAGCCGGAGTTAAATGATCGCACACTCCAAATGTTAACTTTGTTTTCACGTGGACTCTTTTTTTCCTGCTTAATTGTTTCTGTCACAAAATAAGCGGTTTTAAAACTACGACACGATGCTGTTGTCAGCTTCATGACCGAGTCCATGACCGAAGAATGTGGAAGATAAAAAGGTCAGATTCAAACCCTTTCTGCGTTTATTCCCCGTTATGTAAGAGCGACATATTTTCTGGAAATCCTGAGCCTGAACTCGTATTAATCTCCTGCCCTGACTCACGTGAAGCAGCTTTTCCTTGAGTCAGCCGTTCACGCCAACATGGTACCAGGCAGTGACAGCTGGCCCACTGATGTGGAGGTTGAACAGAACGTGTGTTAACTACAACACGTGATGCAGAATACCTCGTTACATATATGCTGTGATGTTTCTGTTTGTTTCTGTCTCCACACAATAGGAGGCGGGACATTATCAGCTGCCCACACCCTTCCTCTTTCCCCTCACGCTCCCCACTCAGCCTCCTCTTGATTTACACGACCCCCTTTATCCCACTCACCGTCCTCCCCTGCGGCCTGAGAGCCACATTTAGCTCTCCATTAGCCATCTGAAGGGAAAAAGAAAATCTTTGATGATGGAAGTGCACTTTTTAGCCTGAATGGTTCCACTTAGTGGCTTTTTGTCTAAGCAGAAAACAATAATTTCATCTGCGCTGTTAGGCAAATTCATTTATTAGACTTTGTAACGCAATAATGAAATAATTACGTCTTGTGTGCATTCACACTAAAACATCTTGAGCTTTCCTCCCAGCCTGATGGAAGATGCGTTTGTGTGCGTGTGCACTGTGGTCATGTTAATTGTTAATGAGGATTGATGTCTGAAGTGGTGACCTTGTCTAAGGTTTCCTAGTGGAATCCGCGCATATTGATCTTTTCAGTTTTATGCTCTGCTGGACACACAATTCACTCATGCTGCACGCTCCCCTGACCATCTCATCGGTGGCACTTGTGATGATTAATGGTCGGTTAAAAATGGGGTGGCTGTGGCTGAGTGGTTAGAGCAGTTGTCCTGGGTTGGGGGTTCAAATCCACCAGCAGTTACATGTTGAAGTGTCCCTGAGCAAGACAATGAACCTCTCATTGCCTCCGATGTGTGTCCCAGCAGTGCACGAATGTGATAAAGCACTATAGTCTCTTTAGAATGATTTGTTCAATTAGCTTTGTAGAGATCTAGTAGAGTGCTGTATGAATGGATGAATGAAGATACAGATTGTGTTGTAAAGAGCTTCGAATGTGTGTCCTGACAAAATAGAAAGGTGCTATATAAGTACAGTCCATTTACCACTAAAAAACAAGCTGATTGTGGGAGTCTGTCTTAGATCTGTTACGAATGGTACACTTTTACTTGTGCTTTAGGATGTTTTGAATTACAAAATGATAATTTAGCATTTCTGCCAGACAGTAGAAACCTTGAACAGAGAATTCTCCCTTCACAGCCTGTGCACTACATGCATAAATAGTCATTTTTGTCATGTTCTATTGTGTGGAACCCATGTTGTAGACAGGACTCAAGAACTCAAGACTAAAATAAGGAATATTTATTATTGTAACAAAAAGGGCTGACGTGGCAGCTAAGCATACAGTACATAAATGATGAGCGGGGACAGGAGCATGATGCTGTACAGGACAATCCATGGACAGGGGAACAATAAGGAAACGCAGAATAATATATAGACACACTAACAAGGGGATAAACACAAACACCTGGGGAAGGATTGGTTTTACATATTCAAGGGAGTGGGTAGAAATAAAAACTTATCAAAATTCCCACTCCTTAACCACTTACATAATCTTACATTTATTACATGTATAATCCATACATATAACAACTAAACCCTTATTTGACCCATCAGTATAGTATCTAAGTTAACTACAGTAGATAAACAATTACTATTTCTTTAACTTCACCAAAAAAAAAAAAACTAGTATCAATAACAAAAACACCAACAATAACTGAATAATAATATATATATTGTATCCAGCATTAATCATGTTTATATGATAATTTGAACAGTTTTATGTTTGGACATTGTTTAAGTTGAGATGACACGATCACAAAACACAGAGATCCTCTCAATTTTTACGTTGTATAATAAAAATCTGTCTCAAAAGATGTTGAGAAATAGTTCTGAAAGAGGCAAAATTGTTTAAAATAAAGTCAGGATGGGCTTATATGGGCATTTAATCAAACTTAAAAAGGAATGTCAACTGTTTCATTTAGTTTTTCTGCAAAATAAACAAAATTTTGTGCATTTTACAAAATTTTCCTTTGCTGATTTTAGCTCATCACAGCAAATGCGTATTTTTATGTAAGTTTTTTTTTTTTTTTTTTTACTGTCAAACCAACTTTACAGTTAGACTGTGTAAACCAGGGCTATTCCACTGGCGACCCAGGGGCCAAGTCATGCCCCCAGATGAGCTCAGTTCGGCTCATCAATGGGTTCATTTTAAAATAAAACTAGATTTTAAACCATAAAACAAACTTACTTAATGACAATAACTGCTGGATGTCCAGCCCCTGAGCTCTTGGCTTTTAGTAACTGTGGCCCCCTGAGCAATTTAGTTAAATAGCTCTGGTATAAACATTTGTCCTCTTCTGCAACACTCCTCTATAAATAATCTTTTATTTCTGTAAGGAAATGACAGCTCATCTCAACAATCAGCGTCAGATTCCTGTTTTCGCTCCAGGTTACTTAGCTGCTCATAAACATGTCTGGGTGGAGCAGTAGCTCCGTGCCTTTTCATGATTTACATTTAGAAGATAAGAAATGTAAAAAAGATCAAAATAAAAATACATTTCCACTAATACACAGAAGGTATATAGTAGGTTTTTTTTTATAGGATTGTGTTTGTTTTAAAGACAACTTAATACATGTTGAAGGAGGTAGAAAAAAACTTTAGCAAAACTGACCACATAAAGATTAGACATGTTTTTAACAACAGTTTTCAATAAAGTAAATGGACTGTACTTATATAGCGCCTTTCTGTGTTATCAAGATACTCAAAGCGCTTTACACTACAGTCTGTGCCCTCATTTACCCATTCATACGGCACTCTACTAGATCTATGCAAAGAGCAGTGCTTTATCACATTCATACACCGATGGGACACACACTGGAGGCAATGAGATGTTTGGTGTCTTGCCCTGGGACACTTCAGCATGTGACTGCTGGTGGAATCGAACCCCCAACTCTCCCACTGGAGGACGACTGCTCTAACCACTCATCCACAGCTGCCCCTAAAGTAAAACTCATGTTTGTGACTTCATTGCTCCATGTTTAATAGGATGTCCTCATCCTCAGAAATTAACTGAATCACCAAAGAGCTCTGTACCATTTCCTCTTGCACTCTAAAGTTATTTTCACCCATGTTTATCATTTTTTAAAACATTAATATTATATCAAATCATTATTATTATTTATGTTTATTATAAAGACACAACTCCAGCTCTTGGTAGCTTTGTGGTCTTGTGTTGTTGGAAACATTAAAAAGAAGAGAGGGATGGAAAGTGGCACTTTTGTGTTGATTGATTTTGTTAAAAAGATCACAGAGCATCTTTTTTTACTCCCTTCTGGCCCACACAAGTCCCACGGCTGGGAACCTCTTTAGCAATAGTTTGCATAACTTTGAGTCATAGACAGAATCTTTGGATTACTTGGAATATGAGGCCTGCAGAAATGAGTTTTCTTCTTGATTTATTTAAGAAAGACCAATTTTGACAAGACAGTGGAAACAATATGTACAAATGTTGCTTTTCTAAGGAATCTTGCTTCTTTTGTATTGATTTGATGCAAATATTTGTTTTCAGTACAGCATTAGAACACTTGGAATTTTTCATTTTTAATGCAAATGTGCATGATTTTTGTGTCCACATGTTGAGGATGTTACTGATATTTTTGTTGCAGGGAGCTCAAGTCTGGCTGAGGCATAAAGAGCAGCTTCTCCCGTCCACCGTCAGCTCCTGCGATGAGTTGTCGATGGTTCTCACCACAGAATATGGGAAGGTAAGACATCACTGTCACAAACTCTCTTACTATGTGTGTCTCCTACATTGAGCATCTCTATTGGTTAAAGGATGAAAGATGGTGCGTTTTCATCCTAAGACCAGCAAAGTTTCTTAAAAACAATGTCGAGTCTATCTTTAGTGTACATAAAACATTTCCTTTTTGTTTTGCTATAATGCGAGGAGGGAAATTGCCCCATTGTCTGCGTGTTAGAGAGCTAATTGTTTGCACGCATGTGCCTCATTTGATGGGTTTACAGTGGACTCAACACATTTTGTGATGAAGTAAGAATGACAGGAATGAAGTCCCACTGAGTTGAGTCATTGAACTTATCTGTTTGGCAACGAACGCTGGTCTTTGTGTCTGGAGGAAATCCTGTTAGAAAAGCAACAAGAAAAAGAGAGGAGGCAAGTTTAAAAAAATAATTCTCTCGTATGTATGATAGTCAGAGAAATCAAAAGTTTATATTTTAGTCATCAAAGTTCATGCTCAGTCATCCAGGTACAAAATCCAATAATGGTCAATCAGGTCATCTGAACAGTTTCTTTTTGTGGAAAGACAAATCTTATCTTTTAGTGTTTTGATGTCAGAATTTTGACTTGGAAAGGCAGAATTTCCTTCCTGTCCCAACCAAAGAACCCAACATGGCTACCTCATACATAAAAAGTAAGGATATAAGTCATAATACGTTATTTAATTTCACTTCTTTCAGTTAGTATTTCACTCAGTCGGCTGCAGGCATACTCTACAATCTTTATTGGTGGAAGTGTTGTGACAAGGTTCGAATACATAAAAAGCAGAGCGATAGTGTTTTAGCTCTTTTTACTAACGTTGATAGCCTTGTTACTGAGCACATCCGTTAGCAAATCCCATAAGTTTTCTGCAACACTGTTAAATTGGGCGTGACATCATTCCCAGATTTAAAAAGTTAAAGGCAACATAAAACACCTATCTTCATATTCAAGAATACTCAGAATTCAAGTGTCCACCACATGAGCACCAAGTTTTTCTAAGGAAGGGAATCATTTAAAGAGAGTAAGATATTAAATCAGAGCTCAAAACAAATCACCAGTAACACTTGCAATCAAGGAGATCCTACGTAATTTTGAAAAGAACAATTGTTTTCACCGCAAAAAAAAAAAAAAAGAAGCTAAAAACACAGTTAGGGTTAGTTGAATAATTAGCAGCTGTGAAGAATTTGTTGAAGATGTCTTTATATTTGATCAAATGTTTTTGAGTCTTCTGTTGAGCCCGAACAACTTCTTGTTTGTTGTCATGTCATCATCACGCCATGACGGAGCTACATAAAACAGTTGAAAACATGTTTTGATCCACAAAGGATGCTGCTGCACCAGCACAATGTTTGGACTTGGACAAATGCAAGAACCATTTGAGATTACTTTTCAGTGATTTCAGCTCAGAGCTCAACTCTCTCATCCAGTCCAAGATGTCTGCCAGTCTTCAGGATTTTTGGCAACATTTCCTTTGTCCACAACCAGGCACAACTCCTTGACCAACACTTCGGGTGAGACAAACTTCTTGAGGCTTCTGAATCTGTCATCGTGCCTGCAGACTATTGTTGAATTCCATTTACTGCTGAAGTCAGACCTGACATAATCGTGTTCCCGTTGCAAGTCAGAATACAAAGAGCTAAATGGCCACCTTTAGCAATACAAGCTGATAACAACACTGTAACACCATGCATGTGTGTGACTCCATCCATCCATCCATCTATTCATCCATCTATCCGTTATCTTCTGTTTGTTGCAAAATCGGGTCGCGGGGGCAGCAGCTTGAGCAGGGAGGCCCAGACATCTTTTTCCACAGCCACCTCTTCCAGCTCTTCTCAGAGGACCCCAAGATGTTCCCAGGCCAAGCAAGAGACATACATGTATCTCCAGAGTATCCTGGGTCTCCTCCCAGTCAGACTTGCCCAAAGCACCTCTCTAGGAAGGTGCACAGGGAGCGTCTTTACCAGATGCCTGAACCACCTCAACTGGCTCCTCTCGATGTGGAGGAGCAGCGGTTCTACTCCGAGTCTCTCCAGATAACTGAACTTCTCACCCTATCTCTAAGGGAGAGTCCAGCTACCCTGCCAAGGAAGCACATTTCAATTGCCTGGATCCACAATCCCATTCTTTCAGTAAGTACCCAGAGTTTGTAGCCATAGGTGAGGGTAAGTAGACCGAACAGTAAACAGAGAACTTTGACTTACAGCTCAGCTCCCTCTTTACCACAATGGGACAGCACAGAGTCTACAATACTGCAGATGACACACCAATCCATCTGTCAATCTCATCCTCCATTCTTCCATCACCCCGAGATACTTGAACTCCTCCACTTGAGGCAGAACCTCACCCTCAACCTGAAGAGAGCAATCCACCCTTTTCCGACTGAAGACCATGGCCTCAGATTTGGAGGTGATGATTCTCATCTCAGTCACTTCACACTTGGCTGTAAACCGCTCCAGTGATAGCTGGAGATCACGGTAGGATGTCACCAACAGGACCACATCATCTGCAAAGAGCAGAGATGCCACCAATCAGAATCCCTCCGCCCCCTGGCTGCACCGAGAAATTCTGACCATAAAAGTTATGAACAGAATCTGTGACAACGGGGGGCCCTGGCGGAGTTCAGCTCCCACATGAAGGGGTCCAACTTACTGCCGGCGATGTGAACCAAACTCTCGTACCACTTGTGTAGGTACTGAACAGCCTGTAGCAACAGCCCCCCCCCCCCCCCCAGTCCCATACTCACACAGTGTACCTCATGGAACACAGTCGAACGCCTTCTCTAAGTCTACAAAACACATGTAGACTGGCAAACTCCTATGGCCCCCTCAAGGACCCTAGTGAGGGTAAAGAGCTGGTCCAGTGTTCCACGGCCAGGACAGAGCCCGCATTGTTCCTCCTGAATCTGGACGTAGCTTTGAGTTTTGCAACGTCTCCGTGGAATATTTTTGACCCATATGATGTGGATGTGTTGGAAGTGGAGCAGCTTATTTACATGGCCTCCTAGGACATTTTATGATTTCTTCATGGTTAGTGGTGGAGCTGGTCGAACTGTGATGATCTCGTTTACCAAACTGGCAAGCCCTTGACTGATCATGAATCTGACTTGGCGATGATGAGTTTTACCACCCTCACTTAGAGCATTTAGTATGAACATTAGGTTGATATGATGCCACATTTTCTGTGACAGAAAATGAAGTCAACTCTGACATATTACCCTTTGACCTTGGGATGTTTGTCAGTGCAGACGTGAGTTTCTCTACTGATTTTAAAGCTCCGACATTCTGCAGCTGGAATGGTAAGAATGTCAGAGAAGCAGACTGTCTCTAGATCCAGGCTGACCTTATGGGACCTTCTGTTCCTTACTTGATATTCATCAAAGGTTTATTTGCAGTTCCTGACCCCAGCACAATATTTTATCTATAAAGTGATTGTAAAAGTGCTATGGGAGAGTTTTCTTGTACGTTTTACCTCGAGTGACTGTGATGTACCTTAGTGAACAAATAGAAAACAGAAGACAATGCAGAGCTAAATGTCCTGTAGGTTTGCTTAAGAACCCGTGTGTGTGTTTTATGAGGCTGGATGATGTGTTATATTCCCAGTGAATTGTGCAAATGCAAAGAAAAATATGCTTTTTTCTGTATTTTGTCTTACTTGGAATCACTTTTTCTCAAATTGCATTTGCTGATTAGACACAATTTTATTTGTGAATAATTTGACCAAAAACAGGAATCAAAATTGCTCATTTAGATTCAATTCATAAAACGATAAAAGTGTTTGTTGTCAGTGGAAGAAAAAAAAAAAGAGTTTAAATTTCTAAAGTTTTTGATCAGTTGTTTTGTCCTTTTTAAACATAACATAGTTTTTTCTTTCATTTTGTGCGAAACAAAAATGGTAACTCATTTAAAACTTGTATTTTTTTTTATTTAAGCTTTGAAAGTTTTCCAGTCTCACACATAAAGTCTCAGTGGTTTAAAACAGATCCTTAATGGCATACTCAGCCCTTGCTGAACAGCTAGTCAATAAAGCCATTATGGAGAGACTTTTGTCAGTATGCAACATAAAAATAAAAAAAAACATGTTTATAGCCTACATGTAATGTAAATTTCCCTCCTTGTGTCAGTGTTTTCACAGTTTTATCATCGTAATGCTTTCCCCCTTCACGCCCCCTTTTTTCTCTGGGGTCTAGGCGGGATCACCCTGCAGCAGATGGACTCACTGTAAGACGCAGTCATAATCAGACAGTCAAAAAAGGGGAAAGACAAAAAGGCCTGAATTTATGAGACACCAGTCTTTGCAGCTGACTCCACCTACAGCAAGTGTGAATATTCATCAGGGCGAGTGGAACAAAGCGCAGCAGCTGGGTGGGGTTTCACAGACGAGAGGACGAAAAGAGGGAACATCACAGCTGCAGGAGAATTTAAAGTCCATTAGCTCGCTTCAACACAAGAAAGAGCTGCTTCAACAACTCATGTTGCATTAAACTACAGCTCAGCTTTGTCCATTGCATTTAATTTGGTTGAGGGAATAAATAAAAACTCAAATAATAAATACTTATCTTTGGTTGTTACTTTATAGAGTATAATATATCAGGATTTTTGTTTAACCCTCCTGCTGCCCTTGGTTCAGAATGATCCACAAGGTCTCAGGTTTACCTCCTGGAAATGTAAGGCAGCTGGCAATATGCATTCTTTACAGCATAATAGTCTTTTTATTTTGTTGGGTTTTATTTGTAATCTTTTTATGTTATTTATTTAAATAAAAAGCCCATGTGCACTGCAAGTTTCCTAAAGTAATAATTCCAAATCATTTGTTTATAATACTACTAATAATAATAATAATTATATATATTAGAGCTGCTGCCTCTCAGCGAGCAGGTCCTTGGTTCAAACCCCGGTCCAGGGGCCTTTCTGGGTGGAGTTTGCATGTTCTCTCCGTGCATGCGTGGGTTTTCTCCGGGTGCTCCGGTTTCCTCCCACAGACCAAAAA